CAAGCTCGGCGAAAGACGGGAAAGAAAGAGAGTTATTAACTATCAGGCGTTATAAACATTTTTTTGAGACACCCTGTATTTCTGAGCTCAACTGATGTAATTTTTTTTATTGTGAGCAATGAAGTGCTACTTCTTGTCACGCTCTTACTATGATATCTTTCATACTCTTCTGCTGATTGGTTGCAAAGGGTTGTTTCATAACTGCTGCACAGACTGCAGCAGTCTGCAGCAGTCTGCAGTTGAACAGCTGACTGCACCGGCCTACATTCTATCGTAAAAGAAAAGACAACTGCGATTACGTCAAAACACCGTGATTTACGCCTGGAGGATCATCAGTTCTATTTTCACTCTTCTCTATCAGATTTTAGCGATTGTTTTTCTTTGATATGTTCATAACTGTTCTGAATTTTCCTCTCAGTGCATATATCTGTTTCGTATTTCGATCGTAATTGCGGTCGTTCTTCTTTCTTCTACGCAAATATGCTGCGACCGCTGCGAACAACTGCGTACTGCTGCAGACTGCTGCAGTCTGTGCAGCAGTATGAAACAAACCAAAGTACCACCCGCAGTAGTTCTTGAATATCTGCAGATTCAATTCAAGTGCAAAAATTTTTTCTACAAAAAGATCCTTCTGCTTCTGCGTTCGTTGACGGAAGGCAAATGCATAACATTATGAAAATTCATAGAGAAAACTATTCGCGCTCACATGTTTCCGATGCGCGTGTAACCAATAAGAACACTATTCGCAGAAGAAACAAGACATGATGCAGTCTGAAGTAGTCCATTGTAAAGTACAGCGTCGGAGTCTTTCCAGTTATACATAGCAACAGACCAAGGGGTAGAGATCCTGGAATGGTTTGCTATGCGTACGAATTCATAATATTTTGACCTTGAAAGACTGCGAAAAAGGAATGGTTTTTATGCATAAACACTGGATAATCGTCTTGTTGAGACGAAACAGATTCTCTAGATTAAATCGACACGCTGTGAAACGCGAGAGGATGCATTTTTTGATTACAAGAGCCGAATCACGGTGTCTTCTTGTTTGATAACTCAATTAGAAAACCCACACTTCTATATTTGTAACCACCATGCACGATACTACCCATAAATAAATGCAAATAAGTGCAGGAATAATGTCAAACTTCGGGATCACCATAAATGAATTATCTGAATAGTTTTTTTAACTATAGTGTTACCATAACCTGCCTATCATGAGCTTGTGTTTTGAGCTCATTTGCATTTTTTTCTAATTTTTTCTTAGTATTCTGTAAAGCATTTGCAAAATGTTCGATTCGGAAGTTCTAATTCTACTCTACTGAACTACCATCATTATTTTTTTTGATTTATAAGAAGTTGAATCAAAATCGATTACAAACCAAAAAATTTGAGAAGGCAATTTTCTTTTTGACGACTATGTTACGCTGCGTCTCAAATGTGCTTTCTTTGAGATAGCTTGAAAAAATTGCGTCATGTACGGATAGAAAGCTCTAGCTTTCACAGACTACTTCTAAGCGCTGAAGTGCTTTGAAAATAAGTACTGTAAGCTTGAAGATGAGTCTGCATTTTGGCATCTCTTCGGCGTCATTATCAGACATCTGGAAATTTGAAGACAGAGTGGTTGCAGACCAGTCCGGGAATAGGCAGACGAGGTGGTCTTTGTTAGCAAAAACCTTGC